CCACGCCGCCACGCCGCCACGCCGCCACGCCGCCACGCCGCCACGCCGCCACGCCGGCCACGCCGGCCACGCCGGCCACGCCGGCCACGCCGGCCACGCCGCCACCGTTGTCCACTCATGCGATATCGGGGGGGGGGATATGGGGTCGCGTTGTGTGTCGGTGGTGCGGGTGGCAGGGTGACGCGTCGTACGCGGACAAGAAGTACGAGGGCTCGTTCAAGAACAACAACTTCTTCGTGGGCAAGAACGTGCGCAAGGGCGTGCAGGAGGGCGCCTCGATTACACGCCCGTCTTCCTCAGCGAGATCCCGCTCCTCTTCCGCCGCGGCATCCTCCCGCTCGACGTCGCCCTCATCACCGTACACGCTCCCTCTCTCGCCCTCTCTCGCTCGCTCGCTCTCGATGCGGCGCGTGTGTTCCTCTCCCCGCCGCCGCTCAGGGACCTCACTCGTGGGGTGGTGTTGCTTGTTGTGCTCCTCCTCCTCCTCCTCCTCCTCCCCCTGCTCGTCGTCGTCGTCGTCGTCGTCGTCAGGTGTCGCCGCCGGACCAGCACGGGTTCTGCTCGTTGGGTACCTCGGTGGACGCCAGCTTGGCGGCCGTCCAATGCGCCAAGACGGTCATCGCCCAAGTCAACCCCCACATGCCCGTACACACGTCCGCCCACACAGCCCCTCGCACGCACGCACGCACGCCTCGGGAGGAGGGGGGGGTGGAACAAGTCCGCTCACGACCGTTATATATATATATTATATATTTATTTATTAATAGCGTACGCACGGCGATGGGTTCGTGCACGAGAGCGCCATCAGCTTCATGGTGGACGGGCCGGCCCCCCTCATCGAGCACAAGCGTGGCAAGGTCACCGAGACGATCGGCAAGATCGGCAAGTACGTCCTGGTCCTGCTGATGAAGTGGCGATGCATGATAATGTGCATGATGATGCATGATGATGAAGTGGCGCTGGCGCTGGCCGCAGCAACGCCAATGGTGGCAACGTCCCCCTGTCTCACCGCGGGAGTGGGGCGGTGGTGGTTTCGCAGGAACGTGGCGCAGCTCGTGGAGGACGGGGCAACGCTGCAGATGGGCATCGGCGTGATCCCCGATGCTGTGCTGGCCGAGCTCACGCACCACAAGAAGCTCGGCATCCACACCGAGATGTTCTCCGACGGCATCATCGACCTGGTCGAGCGTGGGGTACAGCCACCACCAGCCACCACCAGCCACCACCGCCCCACCGCAAATCGCCAGTCCAGCCCCCTTACGTGTGTCGTGTGTGATGACAGGTGATCACGGGCGAGAACAAGGTTATCGCCCCGCGCACCATCACCGTGGGCTTCTGTCTGGGCACCAAGCGCCTCTACGATTTCGTGCACGAGAACCCCGCCGTGCAGTTCCGCGCCATTGAATGGGTCAACAACCCCATCCTCATCAAGGAGAACCCCAAGATGACCGCCATCAACAGGTACTCCTCCTCCTCCTCCTCCTCCTCCTCCACGCACTATTGGTACAAAGCCACGTTGGCGCGTGTGCGGACATGCGCGCGGAGCATGGGGTGACGCGTCGTTCCTCTTCGCATGGCCGTCAGCGCGGTCGAGGTGGATCTCTCGGGCCAGATCTGTGCCGACTCGATTGGTTCGAAGCTCTACTCGGGCGTGGGCGGGCAGATGGATTTCATGCGCGGCGCTGCTCTCTCCCACGGTACTGCGCGCCCTCCAACGACATTTCAGTGTGGTGTGCGTCGTGTGGTGTGGGGGGGAGGGGTTAACACCTGCTGGGACCTCGTCTCACGGTGCGCAGGCGGCAAGCCCATCATCGCCCTGCCGTCGACCACCTCACGGGGCGAGAGCAAGATTGTGCCGCGGCTCAAGCGCGGCGCAGGCGTCGTGACCACGCGTGCCCACGTCCACTGGGTGCGTGTCAAATCACCAGCAGCCGGCCGGCCTTCTCTCTCTTCTCTCGCTCCTCGCTCTTTATATCTCGCTTTCTCCCCCCCCCCCGGGGGGGGGAGGCTTCTGGTGGGTTGTGCCCTCCTGACGGCAGGCGGGGTGGGTGGGGGGGGGTTGCGCGAGTAGGTGGTGACGGAGTGGGGCGCGGTGAATCTGTTCGGCAAGCCGGTCAAGGAGCGCATGAAGGCCCTCATCTCCATCGCCCATCCCCTCCACCGGCCCTGGCTGGAGAAGGAGGTCGAGCGGGGCTTCTGGTTCGACGTCGACGAGAACTCCCCCAAGATCCCTGAGTCTGCGCACGTCGACGAGTGGATGGCCGCCATGGCCAGCGCAGCAGCAGCAGAACCCCGTTGGCGTGTGAAGTGGTGATTGGGTATGGAGGTGTACAAATATTCACGAGAGCCTGTGCACAAGTCCGGCATCTCCCCAACGTGCACGTTGTGGTTGTTGGCCCGTGCTGTGGGCCATTCCACATCATCACCATCATCAGTGCCCCTGTTTGCGCAGAAACTCCCGGCTGCGCAGGTCGGCCTGCCGGATGGGCTCCGGCACCCTGCAACGCACGGGAGGTGAGACACACGCGTTGTCGTAGGAGCGAGGGCCGAATTGCCAACAACACGTGTGCACACGCACCCGTGCCAGTGGGGCAGGATTGGGGGAAGGTCCGCACCTGTGGAGGCACGAGGCCTGGGTAAGGAGCACAGCCGAGGCCAGGCTGATCCTGTGGCCCACCGACACGTAGATGGGGTTCGACGAGCCGTCTGTGCTTCGGAACGCCTGATTGTCAACACACACGACACACACGCGATATACACACGATACACACGACACACACGACACACACACAACACACACACAACACACGCACACGACACACAACAATCACACACGACACACAACACACACGACACACGATGATAGTCAGTCGGGATCCCGGGAGACAGGAGTCAGAGGGTGGTGGAGGTCTCGTACGGCGCCCCACTCAACTCCCGACTGGCCGATCAGGGGGATCCAGTCGCCGCCCTTGTGGCAGGCTGCGGCCGCCTGTGCTTTGACCTCCCTCATGTCCAGCCCGTCGACGTGGAAGAAGGTCTTCCCCACCCCTATCTGTATGTATGTGTGTGCCGTGTGTGTCATGTGTGTCGTGTGTGTGTCGTGTGTGTGTCGTGTGTGTGTGGTGTGTGTCGTGTGTGCCGTGTGTGTCGCGTGTGTGTGCCGTGTATGTCGTCGCGTGTGGGTCGCGTGTGTCGTGTGTGTGGTTTGTGTCGCGTGTGTCGTGTGTGTTGTGTGAGTGTGTCGCGTGTACGGTATGTCCCGAGCGGTGAGCGGCGCCAGGGCAGGCTCACATATCCGCAAGGAAGGGGAGAGTTTGGAGGGTGGGGTACTGTGGGTATGCCGATGAGCACGCCCAGGTGGGAGGCCAAGCCGAACCCGCGCGGGTGCAGCACTCCGTTCCCGTCAACGAACACCACCTGCCCGCCGACCCCGTTTAGCCATAACCGCCACCATCAGCATCGTCGCCACCGCCACCAATGCCACCAGCCAGTAGTCGCTCACTTCTTCTTCTTCTTCTTCGCTCTTGTTCTTGTTCTTCTTCGTTCTTCGTTCTTCGTTCTTCTTCTTCTGCCACATATCATCATATCATTATCTTATCCACAACATTGTCGACTTATTTCACTCCATGTGTGGGGTGGGGTGTGGCAGAAAGCAGCGTGCCTGGGGCCAAAGGCGGGGCTGGTCGGCGCGTAGCTGCTCGAAGAGGGGCACGAGGTGCGGCACCTCCCGAAAGGCCAGGAAGCCAGGAATGTAGGCAGCTCAAGCTTGACCATGCGCTCGGCTTCCCACACGACCTGCGTGCACACGAGTCATGCCGTGCCACGATTTATCACGCACGACACACACACACACACACACACACACGACACCACACTACACACACACACACACACGACACACATGACACACACACACACACACGACACCACATGACACACACACACGACACACACACAAGACACACGACACACACACACACACACACACACGACGCACACGACACACGACACAGGCACACACACGACGCACACGACACACGACACAGGCACACACGACACACGACACAGGCACACACACGACGCACACGACACACGACACAGGCACACACACGACGCACCACACACGCGGAAGGAAAGATATGGACCAGAAATAAATAGGAGCGACCGGGTGCATAGGGCGGGGGTGGGGGGTGGAGGGAATGGTGCAGTGCCTGCAGCTGGGGATAGGAAAGGACGACGAGCGAGGCACACGCATTGACGGGATCATTCTTGACGAAGCTTGGGGGAGGAAGGAGGTACGAGATAAGAAGAAGAAGAAGAATAACAGAGATATACAAAAGGCCTAACAGAACAAGCACGACACGTGCACGGCTGGCCTACCTGATGTCGACACCGCCAATGAAGCGCAGCTCCTCCTTCTCCTCAGTACCCCCGCGAGCGGCAGCGTCGTCCGGGGGTGGTGCGGAGGTGGGCAGCGAGGGCAGGTTCCATGCGAAGTCGTCCCTGGTGACCAGCTGAGTCTTCAGCTCCAGCTGCTCCCTGTGCCCCCCCCCCCGCTGTAAGCCACAACCCACTCACCATCGTGAAAGAGTTTGGATGCACGTGCGACTCCCACAGCGCCTTGATGTGCGCAGAGGGATCCTCCAGCTCCACCGCCTCCATCTCTGCCGTTTTCTTTTAAAAACTAGAGTAATTTTTTTCCAACCATTTTTTCTTCCTCCTGTTTTCTGCTCACGCGTCGTTTCTGTTTGTTTTTTTTTTTCCTTGTAGCGGCAAATGCATCACGAAGTTATTGAGATTTCCTCTGATGATGATGATGATGATGACAACGATGGGCATTGCGCCGCTGTAGGCAGCATAGTAGTTCGAGGTAGAAGCAGCAGAGCGGTAAGCATCCAAGAGGCTGACATCTTCCCTGAATCTTGGAAGGAGAATGACGGAAATCGCAGAGAGGCTGCCACGGAGGACATCACTACAGAGCAGAGGATGCCCTCGTACTACCTTTACAATTTTGTACTGATCCTCGAGAGTGTGCGGAAGTAACGGCTCCCTTTCGTTCAATTCCAAGTGCGCTCCGCCTCCCTAACTGCAAACATTAGGCTACATGGCCACCTGTTGACGCCCAAGGAGGAGCATCTGCTGCGCACGTTCGAAGGTGCCCAGCCACTACAAGGTCCTCACAGACTCACAGACATGCTGTGGCTGACGCGTGCTGCTTCTGTGTTGTTCTTGTGCAACGCACGTGGCCTGCTGGGGGTGGGTGGGTGGGTGGCAGGCATGGGCGAGGGAGCCAAGCGCCTGTACATTCGCCTGTTCCAGCGCAAAGGGCCGTGGTTCCGTACAGCCACCCTCTCCTACCCCGAAATCGACGTGCTTGACGCGACTCTCGTACGCTCTCCCTCACTGTTGGCAGCTGCTGGTTGTTCGCCGCATCCTCTTTCCAGGCGTCCAGGTGCCAGCCACGCAGACTGTTGACACCTTGGGCAAACGACGTGGTGGTTGATTCCTAGGAACTCCAACGGCTGGGCTTCTGTGAGACACTGGAAGGCGTACACGACCGCGACATCACCCCTGATCTGCTGAATACCTTGAGCAAGTACCAACTGCAGGCTGTGCTTCGGGCGGCACAGGGCACCTTCCTCGCTTCTCTCGGTGCGAATCCTGCCCGCCAAGGCTTTAAGTTTTGAGAGCCGCCACACACGCCACGCAAGCGCATAGCACGCCAACTGGGTTGCTTATTAGAAAAGAATGCAGGCGCTGGCATGCGCGTGGCGGACATCATCAACGCCATCACCGGCACGGCGTACACACAGCAGACACTCGACGGTATGGACCCCCTCGTATATGCTGCACCCCCCCTTGTGCCGCACCGATGAGTCATCCATCTTCCCCCCCTTCCTCTTGCACGCACGCACGCACGCAGGACGGAGTGTGCTGTCCAAGGTGGTGGAGCGAGAACTCCGTTCTGCTGCTCCTCGCGCTGAGGCTGCCCTGCCAACTGTCGCGCCGAGCGGTGATAGGCCTCGGTTCTGTGCCATTCGGCTATCGCGGCCCTCGCGCGACTTGTTCAAGCGCATGCAGCGACTGTTCTTCTTGAACGACACACAGGACATGACGCTACTCCTGCTCGTGGGCATGGACAAAGTCAAGTACCCCGCCTACGCCTGCCCTCACATCGACATCCACGCGTGGAAGTCCGTACGGCGGCCTCTTCGCCCGGACAGCCCACCTGATGATGACGAGCACGGAGAGGAAGACGCTGGACACCGTCCTGCCGACCAGCCACCTCCTCCTCCTCACCCGCGGATGACCGCCGGCTGTGCCCGCGCAGAAGAGAGCGCCTGCCGCGGAGAAAAGGCCGAGAACACCACCACGAGCGGAGCGCCAGGTGACGAAAGCTTCAGTACCCCTCCGCCGTCCCCTTCCCGCCCCCGGTCGATGAGGTAGCTACCTACCCCCAAGCAACAACAACAACAACAGCAATAACACCAGCAACAACACCAGGGGGGTGCCATCATGCGCCACCCACCCACCCACCCTCCTGCCTGCCTGCCGGCCTGCCTGCCGGCCTGCCTGCGGGCCTGGTCGACTAGCTCTGACCAACGCCCATGCGTGCGTGTGGTGTGGGACCAGCGACAGCCATGGAGGAGGAGGAGGAGAGACCTGTGAGTGCTATTGGTGGCGGCGCCAAGGCAACGAGAGCCGGGTGTTCCCCTCCCGGGAGGCACTTGACCTCTACGAGCGCGCCCTCGCCTTGGCCAACAGCCTCGAGGCACTGGGCGCTGCCAGCAGCAGCACGCCCGCGCCCGCGCCCACGCCCACGAGCTCTGCTACCGTGTCCACAGCCGCCGCGAGCAGCAGGACAACCAACCGAGGGATACCAGTGTCGAGAAGGGCACAGCGGCGCTGCGGGCCGAACGAAGGCCACCGATCGACTCAACATCATCGGTCCCTGCTCGAGACACTGGTCGTTGCCGCTTCCTTCCTTGCGCACTCTGCCTCGTCGCCGGAGCAGGACCCCTACTCGGAGATCATCCGCCTCGAGCAGAAGCAGCAGCTTGCCGAACGGTCCCGTCGCAAACGCTTCTCCTCCGCTGCTGCCTTACTTGACTCGCCCTTCCCGTCCATCCTGCACCAGCTTTCGTCCGCATTCCCCCTTCCCTCATTGTCCTCCTTCTCCTCCTCTGCCTCGGCCCTGCAGCCGTCTCCTCCTCCGCAGCCACTCTTCACTTCATCCCTCGTGCCGACTGTGCCGGTCGACGCGCGGCGGCGGCTGCTGCTGCTGGACGACGGCAGAGAAGAGGGCGGTGCCTGTGCGCCGGACGACGAGGGTGGTGTGGTGGATGCTTCCGCCGCTGACCAACCGTTCCCCGCGCTATTTGGCCGCAGCTGCTTGCGCAAGTGTGCCAGCGCAGCCGTGTGGCGAGCGTGCATCGCGGAACGGCCTTTTCTCTCCAGGTTCACCCATGGGTACGCGCCACGTACTGTTTGTTGGTCGTTCGCCGTGCGGTGCGGTGCGGTGCGGTGTTGACTAAGGGGAGGTGGTCGCATGCGACTGCACGAACGTTCGTCACCAGGTGGGTGCTGGCACGCGTGCTTCACGACGGTGTCGGTGTGCTGGAGAAGCAGAAAAAGTACGCCGAGGCAGCGGCGTGTCTACGGCTGCTGCTGAGCACGCCCTTCTGTCCGGGCAAGCGCGGGCACTGGTGGCATCGGCTGTCCCTCAACGTGGAGCACATGGGGCGCAAGAAGCACTCGCTCATTCTCGCCGAAACCGCACTCAATCACGACCAGCCGTCCCTCCGCCTGTGCGATCAGCTCGTCCTCCAGAAGCGCGTCCTCAAGCTCGCCAAGCCGCCCTTGCGTTGGAACAAGCCTTCCTTCCTCACCCGCGCCGCCGCCGCCCCGCTCTCATCTCCATTTCCCGCCTTCTCCATCGCCTCTCTCAAGAAGCCGCGCTCCACCACCATCTACGGACGCCTCGTACGCGAGGAGGTACCCCACCCAGCGTGCCCCTGCCCTGCTCCTACTATCCTCTTCTCCTCTCCTTCTCTCCTCTACGGTGCCACCACCACCTCCCCTCCCCCGTCATCAGCTGCGAGCGGTGGTGTGACATGTGTGTTGATGATGATGATGATGATGATGACGGCTGATGGTGTGGTGGGGGAGGGTTCAGGCCAAGCCAGGGAAGAAGTCTACGTTCGTGGGCCACGACGGGAGCCGCTGTACTGTCGAAGAGCTGGCGCTGCAGTACTACGCACAAGAGGGACGAGGCTGGGCGGGCATGCATTCGGAGAATGGTATCTTCAAGACGCTCTTTGGTCTCCTCATGTGGGACGTCTTGTTTGCCGACGTGCCGGGGGTGTTCTTGACTCCCTTCCAAGGTACGCCCTGTCCTCTTCTTCCCTGTGTGTCCCAAGGATGATCGAGAGAGGGCGTAAATCTAACCTGCGTGAGCATGTTACTTGGTACTTGATACGCTAGTGGCGCCAATGGACTTGGCAACAGACGCGTTCGCCACCAGCCGAAGAAGCCTGATCGAGCAGCGACTCCAGGAGATCCGCTCACAGTCCATGCCCAAGCTCCTCGCAGAGGCGTGGATCCACTATGGTAGCTTGCTCACTCTCAAATCCAACGTGCTCCTTCACCAACCTTGGCCTCTAACTTGGTGCATTCTCATACCACACAGGGACGCAATGCCTAGGGGTAGACTGGCGATACAGCCTCCAACACCTACAGGTGGTGGCCTCCTGCATTGGTGGAAATGCACTTGTACAAGCCCCTGCACCATTGCCTGGTGGAGCACACTCATGACTGGTGGTGTGGTGTTAGGCCAACATATTTCAGCTGCTTGCTGAGGATTACAAGGGATGGGGTCATGGTCTTCCTGATCTACTCCTGTGGAATGAGGATGGTACTATTGCTTGCTAATTCTGTGCTTATTCTTTGCTTATTCTGGAATTTTTTAGCAGGGACAGCCAAGCTGGTGGAGGTCAAAGGACCTCGAGACCAGCTGTCAGCCTACCAGCAAGTGTGGCTTGATCAGCTTCTTGCTGTGGGGGTAGACTGTGAAGTGTGCTTTGTGCTGGAGCACAAAGGTCCCACAGGGCACAAGCGCAAGAGGCCCTCTCCTGATGATTGAATCCAGCCTGATACCAGCAGGCTTGCATGAATACTCACAGTGGCACTAACTGTCTAGCCTTTCTTTCCCAAATGGGTAGTGTTCCTGCCCTGTGTTACAAATCAAAGTGCAAGTGGTGGTGCCCACAAGAAAGATGTGGAGGATAAAGGACTTAGTCTGAATCATGGCTCCTACAACCAAGCATGTCCAGTGAGGGAGGTTCCAACTCCTCCAAACCCTAGCTAACACAGAACAAAGAGTGCTCTTTCTTGCTTGCCTTGTAAACTCTTGACCTTGCGTTTTGTCAAAATGCGCGCCAGATCATGGGCATCAAGATGTGATAGGACTCAGCCCTGTAGGATGCCTCGTTGGGCTGTACGACCTCGGTGTTTCCTTATCAAGATCGTGAGTTTTCTCGCTTGTTTCTGACTAATTTTGTTCTGGGCCAGACTACTGAGAGCACTATTTTCCTTGCTTACCAGGACAGCCAGCGGCCTGCCACTATTTTTCCAGACCAATTACACCATGGGCTACAAGCTGCCGCACACTCAGGCCGCTACGGTCGCGTTGCATCCCCGAAGAACGAGTTGCTGCAGCTCTTCTACTCTACAATAACCAAGTGTTCCAGCAGCTTACTTCGTGGAACTAGTTTTCTACTCATGGGAGATGCCTGCCCAGCCGCGATGATCGCAAAAAAATCGCGATAGTCGCAATAGTCGCGATAGTCGCGATAGTTGCAATATCCGTGGATGGTCGGCACCTCATCTCCTGTTCATGTTGTTTGCCTATGCCTGTGGTAGTGGTTTTTGCAACTATCGCGACTATCGCAACTATTGCGATGATCGCGGGTAGTCGCAACCTCCGCGGTTGTCCGTGATGATCGCGAAACAGAGTCATCTCCATGGCCACTCGCATTTTCACTTGTCGTCCTTGCGTAGCCCACGCGCCCGCGAAGCGTAGCTTCCGCGCGACCCGTCAACACGTTTAACGTGTGCTCCGCGTTCTACGCGTGCTACGCGTTTTCGGACTCATGTCTCAAGTGAGCTTTCCTGAATCTATGGGGATGCAACGATAACGCGTAGTATGGATAAAATGCGTAGCATGCATGCTATTCAGGTCACATTTGCAGTATGAGTTGGAAGTACATGAAGAATGCATGGTGTGCCTTGGCCACACATGAAATATGCATGTTGCATGCAGACCACACACCTAACATGTGTGTTATGTGGACCACATGCATGACA